CCCCAAAACCCCAAAACCCCAAAACCCCATCTTAGTAATTTTAATGGCTTTTTAGAGATAATAATAATATTATATAATTAATCAGAATTCTAGAGTATTATCTCCATTACCTGCTTTATTTTCTTCTTTAACTTCTAAATCTTGCCAAAAAGATTCTTCACTTTATTCCTATTCCATTTGATCTTAGTCTAGTATGGTCTTAGCTTTTCTATTTTGCTATTTCAAACTTATTTCCCCTTATAAGGTATTAGATCTTGTAACGCTAGACTTAGGTATTTGACGTCTTTTTTATGCTATCCTGAGTTCTCTTTCCTCAGTAACAATCTTCAAGATTTATTGAAGAACAGCTCTATAAATTAGATTAGAAGTTTAAAAAATCAGTTACTTATTTTACTAATTATCTCTGTCATATTTGTCTCTGATTGAGTCTAGGATTCTTCGGGGATTCACAAATGCAAACTCAGTTGAAATATTTTTCTTTAGTCTCTAATACTCAGTAATTAAGTACTGGCTAATCTGAGATTTATCTATAAATTAGATATGAGAGGAATATTTACCTTTTAGGTTTTTAGTAAGGACTTTTTAAGTTTATTAAGCAATAGAAATTGTTTTCTAACTTTCATTTTACTGAGAAGCTTCTTTTCTTAGATTGTTGATAATTATTCTCATTTTTATTTGCATTTCTCTTAGTTGTATATTTATTAGTTTTAAATCGACTTAATGATGCTCATCTGTACAGTTCTTTATAACTACTTTGAGATTATTAAAAGCCTAAATGTTCTTTAGGAAGTTATCATTTCCTACGATTGTTTCATATGAAGAATCTTAATTGCTCTTCTTCATCAATGGTCCATAAATTAGTTAGGCTATATCTGCATTTAAATGAATTTTTTCTCTTAATCTTCCCATAAGTATTCTCATATCAATAAATTTTTTTCCATTATAGAGATATGTCTCTGTGATTTCAAAGAGAGCTTTTATAGATCTTTTAGATATTCTTGGTCTTACAAAAGGTTAAAGCTTCTCATAATTATTTGAATAGCAATGCTTAAAATAAACATAAATATCGAAAATTTAGCTAATACCGAGATAAACCAAACCAAATAAGAGGAATTCAAGGAATCTTAATATTTGAACTGGCTTATTCTTTGTGTCAATAAAAATTTATTTGAATTTCTTATAGAGTGTATATAGGTATGAAAAAGGAAGACAAAATGCATTTCCAGCAATAAAAAATATCAAGATAATCAATAGGACTGGTACATAGGCAATATTCATAAGTAAATGATCAAGTTTTCTTAAGAAAATTTTATCTTTTGTAAGAATACTAATCAAATTAAAGGGAAATATTATTAAATTTATAGGAGGGAATGCACATATCATAGAGCCATAAGTTTTATCGAATTTATACTACGGTATCGCTTCTATTATACCATCATAATAAAGAGCTAGTTTTTTCTCTTATAAAATCGAAAACGTTGTAGATAAAATAGCAATCATAAGATTAAGCAAAAGCACCATATTAAAAACCAAGAATATGATATGATAAACTTTCCCGAAATAAGGGCCTATGAGCAAATTATCATAAATAGTCATATCCCAAGAGCCAAGAGCACTTTAAATAAACATTATTATTGTATCTTGAAACTAATCATAAACTTCAATCTCACCAAACAATAGCATACCCATACATGAAAAAAATACTAGATTAACTAACCATATAACAGCAAATTAACCGATATCAACTAGCATGCACTCGACTATTTTGATCAATGGCCCAAAAGATCTAGTAAGTTTAAGTAATAAAATCACTCTTAACCAAAGTAATCCTGTATGAAACGCGAGAAGAATGTCAAATCTGAATTTTCCTTCTTCTAATTGCTCTATTACATTTAATACGAATATTTCTTCACTTGTGAGTTATTCTCCATAGTTGTTGTCAAGGAGACTCTAATCTTAAAACTTTTGAGAATAATACATCCAAATTGCAACACAGCTAGTCAAACCTAACTCAACAATGAAGTTAGCATTTATTGGATTATAGTTTCGTTTGGTTAATTTAGCGAATAAAAAAGTCTAAATCATTCTAATAGGAAAAGCGTACATTACTATTGATACCCACATTGCATCAAATATATCTTTTCCAGCTTCATGTAATTCGTCACCTAATTAATCAACCAATTCAGCATGATTAGATTCAGCAGTATTTTCCAATTTCTTGATATCTTCATTTATGTCATGAACAAGAGAGTTAAATTGACTAATAAAGTACTAGAAAAAAATGCACAATGCTATAAAAAATGCTGATTCTAGGAAATATCTTATCTGCATTGATTTTTTCCAAACACCAAATTGATAATTATGAGAGCTCATTTCAGATATTTTAATAGTTTTGTAAAACCTACTCTCAAGCTCATAATCAATCTTTGATGAGTCATAATTAACAAGTAATCTAAAAGAAGTCGAAGCCTCCCATAGATAACCATTTACATCAATATTACTCTTCCAAAAATCTTGAAGGATTCTATCAGTGGCGCTTGTGTCTAAAATAGTATAGACATTGTAGAGGGCCATATAGTAGAGGGCATCATTTCCATACAGATCTCTCTACTTCAGCAATTATTTAAGTTCATCTGAGTTAGGAATGTTTTTTATAATCTTTTTCGTTGATTACTCAATATCTTCTTGGATCTGCTCTGTCCTGAATGTAGTAATTTTAAATTTTGCTCTAACTTAAGCCAAAGCATCAATAATAATCATAGCTAGTTTAATAGGATTCTAATTTAAAATAAAAATGGACTTTTCCACTATTTCATTATTAGCCTCTAATAGCGTTAAAAATTAATCTACATGTCTATATTTCATATGAACAAGGAATTCCTTGAAAATGTAGATTTTGTATTCGTAAAACTCATATTATCTCATTTGCTATAGGAGATAATCTATAATCTAAGTTGATTCTTAATTGTGGAGTACTTAGGAATATTTCTGATAGATTTTATAACATTAATCGTATCAATTCATCTCACAAAAACACTTGAAAGATTCCTAAATTAAATTGTATTTTATGGACTTCTTGATTAAAGGCTCGTCTTGGACTTCAAATATCAGCTTCTTGAATTTATTTTAAATCAATATTTTTACAAATCAATGTATATCTAATTTCTCCTAGAGATGGATTATTGCTACCTTAATAAGTTGAGTTTGTCTATATTTAGTATCTCTATTTTCTTTTGAATTAATGTAATCTATGTAAGAATCTAATATGTCCGAACTTTTCATATTCCTTTCAATTTTTGCTGTTTATTTTTTTAATGGAGAACTTCTTGTTATCTCGTTTATAATGCTTTAACCTTGATATGTTTGAAAATAAGATCTTCATTTTTAACTGTTGTCAACTATAACTGTCAGTTAATTATCAAGTAGATATAGAATTTCATTAAACTCATGTTTTCTTAAAAGTATGAGTAGATCTTTTCTTTTTATTGAAAGGTTGAAGTAGCACTTGCTACTGTGATCTATTAGTTTTTTGAAAAATCTTAATTTTTCATCTATATTTAGATTTATTAGGCTAGATAATGCTTTATTAAATAGATCCCTTATTTCATCTCTTCCAGATTCAATAATACCCTTTGATCCCAATTAGATCATTAGTCCATAGACTTTATTTAGAGTGTGACAGGTCGAGTCGTTGAATTAAACATATGAGAACATAACATCTAGAACTTTAGTGCTTCTTAATGCAATTACCAATGTTGAGATTAACAGTTTTTCATCAGTATCAAACATGTCAATAAATTTTTCTAAGGAGTTTTAGAATTCTTTCGAGGATTCAAATAACTAATTTAGAACCCTTCCAATATAATTTGATTAGTCTTTTAATAGATGCTCTCCTTGAAGTCTTACAGATTTTGTGGTTTTGGATTTCTAATCATTGAGACTATTCAGTCTTGATAGCTCCATCGAATAGTAATTTTAACCTAGCTTTTTATAGTTTTCCTCATTGGTTGACATAACATTGTGAATTACTAGTTGAGATCTTTAATTGTCTTGATTAAGAATCACATCATATTCATCCATCATTTAAGATCTGAAAGAACCCTCTAGTTGACTTTTCTTCATTTTTAGATTAATTAATACAATTTCAAAATATACTTTATTTTATTTATAAAATATGTAAAAGGGGTTTTGGGGTTTTGGGGTTTTGGGG